TAGTTTTCACAGCTGATATTGAGCTTCTCCAGCGGTTTTTTCCACATATGTAATCAATCTGATTCCTATGCATACCATCAGGTGAAATCCAGGTATATAACCTGCGTTTATGTCTCTTAAAAAATGTATTTGCTATGAATAAGTCACTGATTGTGCAAAATTCAATCATTCTCTCTCCAGCTCCATTTCTGTCATCGAGTCCATGTTTTCCAACTACAACTCAAATGTCCAACCACAATTGAATGGATTGAGAAATTATGGTACATTCACATGATGGCATGATGGAGTACTACGCAGCACACAGAAGCAATGATTTTGTAAATTACTACCTAATTTGGGAGGAACTGGAGACATAATGCTTAGTGAGTTAACTCAGTCCCATAAGGACAATACTGTATAAGAGCATTAATGTAGAACATGTATGAGGTATCCAAGGGGGAGAAGGGGCAAAAGCAGAGGTATGAGGATGGGTTGGGGTGGGGGGGTTAATCATATGGTTGCACAATTTGATGGGTGGAGGGAGGAGTGGGTAAAGGAAATGGGAAAGAGCCAGTGTGAAAAACAATGTATACTAACTTTGTAAGTAAACCACTATAAACTAAAATTTTTATTTAAATAAAAGAGTGCAGTAAAATGAGAACAAGAAAACCATACCCACCAACAATTACAGTGAATGTGAAGTAACTAAATGTATCTGTCAAGAGAAAAAGAGCAGCAGAATGGATAAGAATAAATAATCCATCAATACGCTGTCTAAAGAGACTCGTCTTAGACAAAAGGACAAAGACAGACTAAAACTCAAGACGTGGAAATAGCAAGAATCAATTATGAAAAAATGCAACAGTGGTAATATTAATTTTTTACAAAATAGACTTCAAGATAAAAACTAGCAAAAAAAAGAGACAAGGAGGGGCATGACCAATGGGTCAAATGAATAAGAGAACATAACTATAATTAATACTTATGTACCCAATAACAGAACCACAAGATACATTAATCAAACTGCAACAAATATGAGAGAAATAGACAATTTCCAGTAACAATAGGAGTACACTCTCATTAAAGCCCAGAACAATCAGGAGAAAACAAAGATACAGAAGAACTAAACAAAACCATTAAACACTTTGATCTCATGGACATTTTAGAATACTCTACCCAACAAGTACACAATATACATTCATCTACAATGCACATGGACTATTCTCCAAAATATACACATGTTAAATCATTAAATTAGCCTCAGTGAATTGAAAAACACTGAAATATTATAAAACATCTTCTCACATCACCATTCTATAAGAAATCAACAACAAATTAAGGAGGAAAGTTCAAATACACAATAATGAAATAATACCCAGCTTGAATACTATTGAGTAATAGAAGAAATAAAAAAGGATGTTAAAAAATTTATTTAAACAAATGAGAATGAAACATAACATACCAAAATTTCTGGAACATAAGACAAGCCATATTCAGCAGTCAATTCATAGCAATAAACACACATAACAAAATAGAAGAAATCAAAATCAACATAAAATCCCAGAATTCATCTACCTATAGAGCTCTGACAAAGAGCTAAAATTCATTAAGGATGGAAAAGATAATCTCTTTAACAAATAGTGCTAGCAAAATTTGGTTTCTATTTGCAGAAAACTGAAATAACACTATCCTTCACACCATATACAAAAATTAACTCAAGATAGGTTAGCAACTCTCTACGGACTTCACCTCCAGAGCTCTCATAAAAACTAACTTGAAGGATCAAGGACCTTGGATAAAACCTAAAACTATATGGATCTTAAAAGAAAAAAAAAACATGGAGCAAACTTAGGGACCCTAAATGATGATCTTTAAGGATTATATACATCAAAGATAGAAAACTTAGTTCTATTTGATATATTGATATGTTGTTGTTGTTGTTGTTGTTAAGTGTTGTCAAGTCGTAGATGACTCATAATGACCCTATAAATGAAAGACCTGAACAATTGTATAACTTTTCTCGTTTCTCTAAGTTCATAGAGTTTCTGGAAGCAAGCTATTTCAGAAGTGGCTGCTACTCCTGTTTCCAAGCCTGTTTTAATCTGGAAGCTCCACCAAACACTGTCTACCATGGGCAACCATTATCGCATTTGACACATCAGTGTCACAGTGTTTAGTATCACAGCAAACATGAGTTAATTCTGTACAGCAAATTGACAACCCACGGCTCTATCACTTAGAAGAATGTTTGACCAAAAACATTACAACTAGGCTTGAAGGCCGCAAGCTATGTCTACAAATATTACAACCAAAAAGATCCTATGGGATAATTCTACTCTTGGAGTCAGATGAGTTAGACAACAAGTTTGTTATAAAGTATCAACTGTATGAAAGGCTACCCTACTGAACAAGTGAATTCTGGCCCAATTAATGATGAAGGAAATAGTTGTATATTAGGTTGTATATTTGAAAGGTTTCCTATATTGAGGGGATGCTTGTGACATTATGAAGGATCCTGGGCACAATGGGACCATCTATAGTAGCAGGACTAGCTGCTGGCTTACCTGCAGATTCCATGTTTGTTTCACATACTCTCTGATGAGATTTTCCTTCAAGTCTTCAAAGGGTCCAGTCTTAGGCTGCACCCCAGGGGGTCTATTGAAAGGTTTCTTGAGGATGCAAATGAGACCATCAGACTCCTGGGAGTGGTAGTGACATAGTTCAGCAGGGCTGGTGTGGGTTCTGCCACCTGCGATGGCATAGGACCCATTGAGCTCCCTCTCAATGGTATAGTGGTGTGCCTTCCTCCCATAGGCCACAGAGAGGGCAAATCCTCCCAGATAATTGCGGCTCTGGCGCAGCAGGTAGAGTCCATCACTCATGCCCCCCTGGACTAAGTAATCTTCTGCCTCCTCACGAGTGATGTTGCCAAAAAAGAAGAGTAGGTGGTTAGCAGTATCAGACATGCCACTAGCCATGGCTGCCTCTTCCCCTGATAGCAATGAGGAGGTACACACAGTTATATCCACCTAGAGGGGAGAGGGAGAAAGACAGGACACTGAGTAAGGAAAACAAAAGTTGCAAAGTACATTCCTTAAATCCATACAAACACTTCTAGGTCAACACAGTACCCTATCTCTCTTTGGATTTTGCAACAGCATTCAAAATAGTGTTTTCCTTTTTTATTAGATACTGATTATAGCTTCCCAGCATACCTTCAGCATATTTAACAAAGCATCTGACAGAAGTGACCACAATAGCTTCTGTTTTGAGATGTATGGGTGTAATGAATTCTAAGAAAGAGCTACCCTAAGAAGAAAAATATGGTGGACTACCCAGAAGCTGCCCTGACTCTCAGCAGAGGGCACACCGAAGCCATGATCAGTATGAATTTAAACCAATTACATCCTTTAAGATGGTAACAATTTTTTAAAAAATATAACTAACAAATATACAAAACCCTAAATTGCTCATCAGTTTTGTCACTGGCAAAAAATACCACTAAATATACTTCTACCTGAAATACAAGATATACAAGAGTATATTTTATTTAGTGAAGCCTCATGCAGTTGGTAGAAGAGTTCCACCTATACATTAAGTCAAACTTGGTTACAGTGGTCACAGAGCCTTCTCACCTCTCTTGTCCAGGGTGAGTGATAACAGCAAGCTCATGTTTTGAGGCTTGAGAAGCAGTAACTTCTGAGAATTCCCACAGACTTATAAGAAGCTGCAGTTTGCTACCCTCTATTATGGGCTCAATTGTGTTCCTCAAAAAGATGCATCTAAGTCTTAACCATCCACCTTCCACTCCTACCCCATTATACTGTGTGGTCATGGCCTTGTCTGATAAGGTCTTTGAAAATAAAATCTATTAACATGAAAGTATACTAGAATAAAATGGGACCTAAGGCATTATTAGTGTTATCTTGACAAAAATTAAAAATACACAGAGAGATTCAGAGGCTGAAGAATACAGAGGGAAGATGGCCATGTGCAGATGGTTGCAGATAGTGGAGAATTATACTCCACAAGCCAAGAAACACTTGGGGTCACTAGCAGTTAAAGGGGAATAGGAAAGGATTTTCCCTTAGAGCCTCTGGAGAGAATATGGCCCGAGTGACAACCTGAATTCAGACTTTCAGGTTCCAAATCTGTGGGACAATACATCTCTGTCCTTATAAACCTCCCAGTTTGTCTTATTTGTTTTATCAGTTCTCACATACAAGATTCACTTTGTATCATCACATGCTGTAGTGAAGCCTCAGAGAACTGACATGATTATACACCAATATAACCACAATAGCAATCACCATAAAGTCTTCCCATTTTTGGTCTCAGTAATAAGACCAGCAACCACTGCCTAGAGGCATTAAGAGTAACACCTTCCTAGATGCCAGGGCCTCAGAAAAGCACAATGAGCATTCCTGTTCTTTTCCAAAGTGGGAACACAGTAGCACATTAAGACCACTTGCTGGGTGGCAGCATCTTATGCAGTGCAAGTTCTACACTGGTTAAGAACATTTGCCATAGAAAAGATAGTTCTCTCACTAAAGAAGCATATACACTTAAACACCTCTTTTAGAAGCTAAGAAGAAAATGTTAAATATTTTCCCTCAGTGGTAGCTGTTACAATATACATATTCCTAGTCTAGAAAGTCTCCCATGGGATATATTTTTTTCATCAAAAAGGGATTCATCTTATCTAGGAAGTACTGGTCCCAGTTGTCAATTAACAGATTTCAGCTCATAGCAACTCCATGTGGATCAGAGGGGTGCTGTGCTCTGTAGGGTTTTCAATAGTTAACACTTTCAAGAGGTCATCAGGTCTTTCTGAGGTGTCTCTTGGGATGGCTTGAACTTCTAGATTTGATTAGCAGCTGAGTATATTAATTGTTTAAACCACTTGGGGAGAAATTCACATGCCCCTTAAATCACACACACACACGCTTATGTTTATGTGAAACATGTACTTCTCTGTATTAATTGCTTTATAACTCAAACTTCTTAGCATTGAGTTTGAATCAACTTGTAGCTGATCCTCCAGCAAGTTTTTGGGAAACTGTAAATTGCATAAGAGGTGATTGCCTATATATATTTTTGTGAAGCCACTGGTGTACAAAACCTCAGAACCCCACTTCTACAGGCCTAAGGCACAGGCCATGGTGGAACAATCCCTCTGCTTGGAGTGCTCAAGGAACTCACTCTGTGGGGCTTGCAACCTCTTACTTCTTTAGCATTTCCACTTACTCCCTCACACATAATTCAGATGACACCTCACTGCATTGTTGTCCTTAACTACTTTTGTCCCTCTGTGTATACTCACATCCTTTTTTTTGTTGTTGTTGATGTGTACAATTGAGCCAGATCAAACCACTGATGATCCGCCAGCGGGTTTTCGGAGGCAGTTATTTGCACAGGAGGAGATTACCCATCCTTTTATTATGGAGAGGCTGTTGGATTTGAACTGTATGCCTTTCAGATTGAAGCACAGCTTCTTACCACTGTTGCTGTTATGTGCCATTGAGTCACTTGAAAATCATAGTGACCCTATGTACAACAGCCCTAAAACCTACTCAATCCTGTGCAAATCTCACTGTCTCTAACACCCCTACTCTCATTACCCCAATCACTGAATCTAACCATCTCATCAAGGGTCTCGCATTGTCCCTCAACCCTCCCAAACGTGATGTCCCTCTCCAAGGACCAGTCCCCCCTTACAACATGTCCAAAGTATGTTAGACAAAGTTTCCGAATCCTTGGTTCCAAGGAGCAGCCCAGTTTCACTCTCCAGGACAAGCCTTTTTGTTCTCCTAGCAGTCCATGGCATATTCAACACTCTTCTTCAGCACCACAGCTCAAATGCATCAATTCTCTTTCTATCATCCCTAGTCACTGTCCAACTCTCTGATGCATAGCAAGCAATTGTGAAGACAATGGCCAAATTGGGCACACCTTAGTCTCCAGCTTAATGTTGTTGCTCTTCAGTACTCTGGAGAGGACTCTGACAGCTGACTTTCCCAATGCAATTTGTCTCTTGATTTCCTGGCTGCTAGTACCAAGAGTAGTGATTGTGGAATCAAGCACACTAAAACTGTTAACAATCTCAATCTCTTCCCCATCCATAATTATGCTGCCAATTGGCCCAGTGGTGAGAATCTTTTGTTTTCTTCTTGCTGAGTTTCAATCCATATTGAAGGCTGCAGTCTTTGGCCTTCTGCAGCAAGCACTTCAGGTCCTCCTCAGTTTCAGCAAGCAGGGTTGTGTCACCTGCATAATGCAGGCTGTTGATGAATCTTCCTCCAATCTTGATGCCACATTCCTCCTCATACAGCCCAGTGTCCTGGATGATCTGATCTGCATACAGATGGAAAAGGTATGGAGATAGAATATACCCCTGGCAGACACCCTTCTCTATATTGAACCATACAGTGTCTCCTTGCTCTGTTCTGATGACTGCATCTTGGTTCAGTTATGTTGTTGTTGTTGTTGTTGTTGTTGTTGATGTTATGCGCCGTTGAGTCGCTTGCGACTCATAACGACCCTATGTACAACAGCCCTAAACTCTGCTGTCCTGTGCCAATCGCACTGTCTCTGACACACCCATCCCAAATACCCCAGTCATTGAATCAATCCACCTCATAGAGGGCCTTCTCCTCCTGCACTATCCCTCCACCCTACAAAGCATGATGTCCCTCCCCAAGGATCGGTCCCTCCTTACAACATGTCCAAAGTATGTTAGACAAAGCCTCAGAATCGTTGCCTCCAAGGAGCCGCCCAGTTTAACCCTCTCCAGGATTAATCTGTTTGTTTTCCTAGCAGTCCATACTTGGACCAAGAGGCAGTCATCAGAACAGAGCAAGGAAACACTGCATGGTTCAAAATTGGGAAGGACGTACACCAGAGATGTGTCCTGTCTCCATATCTTTTCAATATGTATGCAGAACAGATTATCCGTGAGGTTGGGATCTCTGAAGAGAAATGTGGGGTCAGGATTGGTGGAAGATCTATCAACAATCTGCATTATTCAGATGACACAACTTTGCTTGCTGAAACTGAGGAGGACCTGAAGTGCTTGCTGCAGAGGGTCAAGGACTGCAGCCTTCAATATGGATTGAGGCTCAATGTCAAGAAGACAAAGATTCTCACCACTGGACCAATT